TCTATATATATATATATATATATATATATATATATATATATATATATATATATATATATATATATATATATATATATATATATATATATATATATATGTTAATTGTGTTATTGTACACTCTGTAATATGTTAAGATGAAAATGTTCTAAAGTGTAGCTCAGTTGGTAGAGCGTCGATCTAGTAATTCGAAGGAGTCGCGGGTTCAAGACCCAGCTGCGGCAGACAACATCTTTCTGCTTGCACTGGGTATGGAAATCATATAATACACACTCTAGAACATTTTTATCTTAATATATATATATATATATATATATATATATATATATATATATATATATATATATATATATATATATATATATATATATATATATATATAACACAGAGAGTGGAGAGGCTGCATTTTTTCCAGGAATCACTTTCACTCGCCAATAACAATGATTATGGAAATAATAACAATTTATAATTTCAATTAGAATACCTGTACCTTTGATGGAGGTCAGAAGTAAGATTGCTAATTTCACTTTTCATTCCGTCAACCTCACAACCCTTGGAATTTTCTAACCTCTCTAAATGACCTTTCATCTATAAATAAGAATATATAACGCAGCAATACTAATAGGCATATATAATAATGCAGAACTTACTATAGGACTAGTATCTATTATTACTTATAAGTAATAATAGCTACCAGCCCTATAGTAAGTTCTGCAAGAATGACAAGGTCAGGGATTTGCCAGTAAGTTCAGGAAATGTCATTTCAGAGACTCTAGATTACAATGTTTTCCTGGAGGGATGAATCACGACTTCATTCCCCTTGCATGGATACTGGTCGCATGCACCTGCTGCGCTTCGTAGCCCGGCCAAACCGAATTTAAATTTGCAAAGACGATTTGTTTCTTTTTTACAGAGATTCGGAACCGTCCTAAATATTACACGACTGCACTTTTTCACACACGGGCCCATATCTGCAATGGAAATGAAAAGGCGGAAACAACGTGTTGTGAATTCTTTGGTACCGTGTTCAGGCTCTCGTAAATTGAGTAATATACACAAAATATTCTTGTGTAATCAGGTTTGCGGTATAAAAAACATGTACCTGAGAAATGGAGTGTAAAAATTACTTAATAAATATGGACTTGCATGCCTTTTTACCTTAATATTTTCAGACAAAAGTCTTTTAATTTCAGTTTCGCTTTTGTCAGCTAATTGTTCGTTCTATACAAAAGAAACTAATTTTACAATATTGCATCTTTTAAAGATGTTTTCATGAAACACTAAAATGAAATAAGACACAACTCAATAAAGACAGAAACGAGATAAAAATTAAGATTCCTTTTCAACTTACCTTCTGCTTTAATTCACTATTTGACTTGGTAAATACCACTTCGCAATCAGCCAACCTGGAAATGTTAAATAGCAACCAAGCTGCTTAAAAATGCTCAACTTTGTTCTTCCCCCTTCGTCGGACTATTCAATAAAAGATTAAATGTAATATCTATACCTTCTTTGCAATCTCTCGATCTCAGCTTGATGAAACATTTCTGTCTCTTTGCGGGAGCTAACAAAAGCAGGTGTACTGTTACGAAAACGATGCATGCTTAATTAGGGGGTCGAACATGCATAGTTATTTGGAGCACTGACTACCGGGCAAAGAGCACTGCTCTTTGCCCGGTATAGCCTCATCAGTGAGCTCCAAATATACTGGAGCAAGAACTTCAGTCATTCGGCCTATGGGAAAAGTGAAGCCAAGATGGCGGAATGGACCATTTGCATTATAGACTAAATTTTGATCTCAACCAGTCTAGACAAAAATTCATCACAGCTTGAAAGAGCATCACAAAATTAGTAATATTCCAAAGTTTCGTTGCGAAATGTTGTAAAATGCGGATAATATAGCCTTGCGAAGTTTGCCGTTTTTCAGTCATTTTCTATTGCAAACGGGAAATTGACAGCCCCAGAGGGTATTGGGCTGTCAATTTCCCCCACGTAATGCAAAATGACTGAAAAACGGCAAACTTCGCAAGGCTATATATTATCCGCATTTTACAACATTTCGCAACGAAACTTTGGAATATTACTAATTTTGTGATTCTCTTTCAAGTTGTGATGAAATTTTTGTCTAGACTTGTTTAGATCAAAATTTAGTCCATAATGCAAATGGTCCATTGACGTCCAATAGCTATGAAGATCGTAAACAGCTTTTGTATCATTCTCCCCAGCTAATTCCAACGGACCGTATCGCTAACCAAGTTATCAGTTCACTGTAGTTTTTTTCTTTAAATCGATATCAAAATACGAAATTTCGGCACACCCCTTGCCAAGATGAAGGAAATTGAAGTCCGTTTCTATTGTTTTTGTCTGTGCGCGGTTAACACGAAGCTGGCTTCACTTTTTGGACTCGAGTTCTCGCTCCAGATATATATGGAGCTCAATGAGCCTCATTCTCATGAATCGTGTGCGAATCGCCTTTCGTCTTGATTTATGAGAGCGAGACTCCCAGGGTCAAGGAAATATTTGTGACACAATTGTCAAAACGGTGTATTGTGTTCTTTAACTGGGCCCTTCTTCTCTTCATTGAATTTGGGATCAACGAACACGGAAGACAGTTAATATTTGCGGACTTTCACTGTATAACGTTTGTGTGCTTCGTATAGGTGGAATATCAATTATTCACAATTCTGTTTCAAAACATCCCAGTTATTAAATATTCATCGTATTTTTTGAATTAATCATTCCACTAATTTGTTAGTTTTTCATTGTTACGTACATTATTCTGTACGTCCTATCCACTATAAATCTGTTATTTAATATTCCGGATTTTTTAAACTCATGTATTCGTTTATTTATGAACCTGTTATGCGTTATTCATTATCTCACTTTCAGTTTCTACCCCCGAAGGTCCCTTCACCAAATACCTCATACACTCCATAAAATGTACAACTAGACGCGCCATATTTTCTCTGTATGACCAAGTTGTTACACTATACCAAGAAACCCTGCAATATACAGTACCTTAATTCAGTTTGACAAATACGTAAATCCTCACGCAATCTTTGGATGGCACTAGATTCTTCGTAGACACTCGCGTCTTGTAGATCTCTAAACAGCGGGTAATAGACAATATGTAAGACAATATATTATAAGTATTTTGGAAAAAGAAATTGGCAAGAGTGTCGTGTGATGGATACCACTATAGCTGTATACATGTCTTTTTCAGGGTGCATGCATGGTCCCATGTGTTTCACAAACCTGATCCAAGAGAGACGTAGCATGTATGCATGGGTTGTTTTACTGCCTGATTTTTACAAAAAGCCAACGGATTCTCTAGCCATATATATTCCCATTATACGAGGCTCCATGCATGCATTATACATTCCGAGCCAGCCGGAATGAATCATGTCACGAATTTTTTTCCTGACCATCAACGAACTTTGTACTGTTTACTGGAATCAAACTAAGCTAATTCAACTTTGAAATGTAATTTATTATGTTTATCCGTGATATAGGCGCTTAATTAAACTAATCATCCCAGTCAACCGGGTCAGCCTGGCTCCATATGAGCTGCCCCTCATACGAGAGTAAATGGCATAAGTGTTTTATAATCGACATTAATTGCATGCATTCATGACTCTTCTGTATACACAGTAATATTTTGACGGTTTGTTCAGCCGTAACACTATTAATTTAAGCGCGTTAAAATAGCACCTTCGTATGTGAAATTGACACCTTGTGGTGGCATTACAAACACGTTATAACCTAACACCGGCCGATTCAGGTGCTGATTTAACACCATGATTCAAGAAGTTGCATGGGAGTTGATTTTGAAGTGCTAATTTACCATCTACATATTTAAACCTTTTCAGGGTTTAAATTAGCAACACATGAGCACGTTGCCGCATTCAAAATGGCGGACGTGTAGGAGCAGTTTACGTTTTTCCGACAAGTAAATTTCATTTTCAAAATATGTTATCGCTTTTTATGATCAAAAGGCAATTGAGGCTAAATTGAGCATATAAAAGATGAGTGGAAGTTGTAAACGGTAAAGAAACCAAACGTTTCTAAAGCCTGAAGTTTAGACATAAAAACAGATCGTTATCCGTGTCACAACGTGGCCTATAAGACGTTCAAATGTTTTTGTTGTTGTGTTTTGTTTTAAAAAATTAAAGTGAAATGGTTTCAGAAAAAGATAACAGAAAACGTGAGATATTATTTGTATAGATTTTCAGGTAAAACAAGTTAGAACTGGTTAAATTAATTGCAAATTTTATTTCAATCGAATTTGCTAGTTGTGACTTTCTCTGCATGAAGATTTTATTTTCATCATTCTCGCCGCCCTTTCGGTATTAACTCTTTCTAAATCATTAATGTATTTCTTTTGGTTGTATTTTTGTTCTCGAAAAGCGAATAACTTCCTGTTTGATTCTAGTTCGCAAAATGCTTAGTTTTTGTACCGCCATGTTGTTTTCGCTGCTCACTGTAGCTATATAGTGTGGCGGATATGTGCATGGATGTTTCCCAAGAGGGTTAAAAGCACCAAATTTTGCACAGTAGCATCTTTTTATGAGTAGAACAACATGCAATGAATTATGATGCTATGAGCATTATTTGCTATTAAATTCTACTACAACAAAAAATGTGAAATTTTGAATTCAATCGCGACAAATATAACTTGCATCATCAAAAGCTTGTAAAAACTACATAAAAGACTTTTAAACAGTTTTTTTATTCTTCAAATGGTTATTGAATATTGCACATTATCTCGCTAAAAGTCCCTATAAGTTAATTATTCGATGTTTGAAAATGCGTTTTTAACAGTTTATAATTCGAAAACTATTTCAGAAATAAAAAAACTGTCTAAACGTCTTATATGCAGTTTTTTATAAGCTTTCTGATGATGCAAGTCATATTTGTTGTAATTGAATACAAAATTTCACTTTTTTGGCTATAATAGAATTCGATAGAAGATAATCACTAATCACCCGTTTTCAGGAGTTAGCAGCAAAATAGCGATGGCCCCACTTCAAATATCTATTAAGCAAATAAAACTACATCAATTGTAAAAGTTTGATGCTTTTAACCTCAACGGGAACTACTGGTCAATAATTTTGCACATATCCGCCTCACTAATATGAGTACATATAGAGCGAGCAGCCCAACCAATCAAATTGCAAAATAGCTCATGTACAGTGACTGACTATATTATAATACGTATTATATTTTTTCAATTTTCAATACCTTGTATTGTACGGTGGCAAACTTTTAACGAGTAAACAATCTTGTTGACCATTTAAATCCAAAATCTTAAATCTAAAATCGTCACCTTATCATGCCTTCTTTATGTTGTAGGTTTTCCTGCAAGGTGGTAAGATCTTCTCTTTGATGTCTCTGCTTGCCTTCCAATAACTAAAAATTTTAAACTTAATGACATTATTCTAAAAATGTAGTTACATGTACACAACAATTTCTATGTTTCAGGAGCGAGACTACCTTAAAAGATCACTTTTAGTAGTATGTTATATATATGTTATATATTATTACGTTATCGTGAAAACGGTTAGTTTATTTCATAGACAAGAATGATTGACGAGAGATGGACGAATAAAAGAGGTCGGCCAGTGGGAAGTTTTACCAAAAGTGTTTTTCCCTGGAGATAACAACCTCGTTCCCAGGCTCTTCTCTCTTGTGGAGGAAAGACCCTGGTCGCAGCTGGTCACGTGTCACGCAGTTTTGCGTGGTAAATTGAAATCGATCTCAGGGAGGGGTAGTAGAGGAGTCTGTTTGTTGCGTTTGGAAAATTGCAATTTTATGTGTTATAGTTTTGGGTGATAAAGATGTAATTTGCAACAAGAAATCGTGAAAGGAACTGTTCTAAATTCGTATTCATCATGACACGACTTCCTGCTATACTGAATGTCATCAATAATAAGTGTTGCGGTATATTTCAAGCGAGAAGCTGGATCATATTTCACTTGCAAGGAAAGGACTCCACGCGCGCCAGGCTTGCGAAGTTGAGCAGGTTTCGCAGTAGAAACATACATATCTTCTATACACCAACTGATCGATCAAACGAACGATATGGTTGTTTATAGTTGAAGTGTATCCTATCCGATATTCAAAACAAAAGATTTTTTTTATAACGGGATCCTTTGACTTCCCAAACATCGCCAACTGTGTGTAAACAATGCTATCCTGACTGTGAAAGCACAGGATTAAAACCCGTTATGGACTGTAAAATTTCCTGCATTTACATTGCTGAAACTCAACGATCAAGAATGATTATGTCGAAGTATAGCAATCTGTTATCACACGAACGCCAAGACTCCTCCGTGCGTCATCCGTGCGTGCGGTACAACTTGAGTATTTAGGACGAAACATGCACCAGACACTGCAGGTAATAGTCTGGTATTGTACTTTATAGTAAATATTTCATGTATTAGAGTATTAATTTACAAATTAATCAATATATCTTATATAGACCTTTCATTGGCATTATTGCCATTGTCCCATTGGGCTTTATTTGAAGAATAATCCGGCTTAAAATCCAGCTTCTTTCGACTTGTATCATGCCGCTGTGGAGTGTGGGTCATCAATATTTGTATCAAACTTAAACTTTATCGTATACTGTGATCGACCTTCAAGAAGTTTCACCAAACGATACTGGAGGCAAACAACCTATCTATCAATGGAAACTCTAAAAGGCTTATAAAAACTCATTAAATAATTCTATGAGCGAGACTTCGTGCGCACACACAGTTATGAATTATGTATCCCTGATTAAACGTAGGGACACTTTATACCAGATATAATAACAAAATACCTTGCTAAATCATGATATTTGCTGTGTTGGTACGGTGTAATGTACTCAGGTGAATAAGATGCTTGTGTGATGTTACTCTGAGTGTATATCCACACCGGGCAGGCCTGAAAAATATGCCTGGCCACGGCGGGAATCGAACCTACGACCTTTGGAATACTAGCCCAACGCAACAACACCGTACCAACACAGCAAATATAATGATTATTAGATTACACTGATATCGAAGGAACTAGACTCGAACCGACCTGACCGCGTAGCTCAGTTGGCAGAGCGTTGGGCTAGTATTCCAAAGGTCGTAGGTTCGATTCCCACCGTGGCCAGGCATATTTTTCAGGCCTGCCCGGTGTGAATATACACTCAGAGTAACATCACACAAGCACCTTGCTAAACCTTATCAGCTATCATTCCTTTGGCTTTGCATTCAAGGGCCGAGGGTGAATGGCTATAGAATTATATAAGAGATGCTGTGCAATATTTTGGCTTCAACCACTGGGCTTCAACATACAGGAACTCGTGCAGACAAAAAGGAAAGGCATACAGTTGTGAATTGTCTTATAATTCTGTATATACTGTCGATCCCAAACAATTTTGTACGTTAACACTCCTTCCTACCTGGTGTTTAATATAAACGATGATAACCTATTTTTTAAAAAAATATAGAGCACTATGCTGGCTATAAACGGTTTTAGAATCAATAGAATGGACATTCAATGTCTATTTGGTTAGTGTCCAAATGTGTAACGTTTGTTGTAAGACCACCAAGGTGCTACGACCTACACAGTAGCTGTTGAGACCTCTGTTTAACAAGTGAATCACAGTCAATGCAAAGTTTATATCGTTTCCAAATGACAACATTTCAATGGCATATTATTAGAATAAATATCTGAACCGGAGGCAGAACAGAAACGTACACGTGAAATGAAACTGCGCCCGAACCCCGCGAGAATAAAAGGGAAAATATTTCAAAGCATACGATCATACGTTTTCGTTGCTTGATTTCCTGACTTGTCTGTTGCTATAAGAATCTGCAGTTTAGCATATTTGTATAATTTAAAAGCAAACAGAAACCAATTTAGCAAGTATTTTGAAGTATATATTATGATTCTCAAAGATACAATCTCATTGTGCAGAACGGCCACTCCTTGCAATCGAAGTGTGAAGTGCGGAAGTGGAAACATGTAATATGAGACTTTTCCATCCTCCTCTTAGGCTATCAATTTTCTATGCGTCACGTGACCAGTTCCGATCAAAGTCTTTCCTTCACAAGGAGGCTGCTCCATTTACTGTTCGGAGTACTCTGGATTTTCGGAACACTAATTAAATCGAACCAATAATGGTCACATGACTGTCCTGACGGTCACATGACTGTCCTGACGGTCACATGACTGTTCTGGCTGCCCCTACTTTTGAGTAGGGGCAGTCAGAACAGTCATATGACCATTTTCGGCTCGATTCAATTAGTGTTCCAAAAATCCGGAGTACTCCGAACAGTAAATGGAGCAGTCTCAAGAGGGAAGAGCCTGGGAACGAGGTTGGGAGATAATTTTGATTAAAAAAAATCGATTAGACTATTCCTAATTCTACTACCAAAAATTACTTTTAACATAGTTACACACACAAAGGTGTCGATTTTACCTTATTAAGACAAATTGTGTAATACTTCTCACCTTCAACAAGTCACACTTAGAATTCGTTTCTTTTTGTAGCTGATCTTTCTCAATTTCTAGCGCCTATTTCAGGGAAACGTTAATTAGATTCGGATAAATGTTCAAAATACATACAGTATATCAACAGCAACTATACGAGTCGAACTTTATAAAATGCAGAAATATATTAAACATGCAACATTTTCAAAACAGTTTTTAGGAGATTCTCAAATCATCGACCGACGAAATGAGATTAAGGTTTGTGTACTCAGGCTAGTGTATACTGGTTAGTTAATGTAAATATTTGTTCAAGGGCATTACCATCCAACCATGATAAATACTGTAGAAGCCTCGTAATGGCAGGCCTAATATGTGTAAAACAAAAATATCTAAGTATTTACTTCAGTTAAAATACGTATATACCTGTATAACCTCGGTCGCGTGCTTTAATCTACCATCCATATACGCCAGTTCAGCAGATTTTTCTTTATCTGTTGTTTCATGTCCTTTCGTCGCTTCTTGTAGTCTTTATAAGAAATCCGTAAAAATCATCTAATTTGCATTAGTTTCTGACAGACGGAGGCTAGCATGCGTACCTGACGATTTTAAGGGATACACCCTTAATAAAAACTACCAATGAAAGCGTTTATCTTTATACACTGTAAAGCAAGCATACCTTTTGATTTCTCCCCTATGTTCTTCTCCTTGTTCACGCAGCTTTGTTATCTGTAGAACAGTCATGACTATTTAGCATATTTTATATTAACGTAGGCTCACACTTCTCCATTACTTCAAATGGTTATATTAGGATTTAAGCCTTGGTTGCTGTTTCACGTGAGATAATTTTACTCATTGATGGGACACTCCTATGGAGTACTAATGGATTAAATTTTCAAAATATAGTAATTTTTCTGGTTGTTTTCCTGGGTAAGGCTACATCAGTCTATGAGGTCAGTTCAAGGTGCCCAGAAAAATTCAAACTCTACCTCTTCCACATGCCCTGTTGCATCATTGGAAACTCACACACAAAATCTACAGGGCCTGTGGAATCTCTTTGTTCAATCAAAATCGTAGCATGAAATGAAGTACAATGCAGAAGTACCTGACTTTCTAATTCCACCATTTCAATTTGATGAGACTTTTCCAAGTTCTCAAGAGTGTGTTTTCGCTGACTCAGCAGATCGTGAACCTCTTTTGTTTGTTGCTAAAAAAGGAAGACTTAAGGACTTTAAAGAAAATATGATAAATATCTAACCCGTATTCCCGCTTCATGATCCAGTGTAGGCTTCATGCAACCGTAAGTGCTTTTTCTCAAGGTGTAAATGGAGTTATACAAATTTAAATATACAGGTACAGTGCTGTATGTACGTAAGCGTTAGTTTCTATATAAACGGCAAAACAAATCCAACAATGTAAGTGAACACTATATACCGGTATACTTCATGTGCAATCACGATAAAGTACTATTTCTCTCGACTGATATAACTTGGCTTATTAATATAAGCATGCGTCGCTATATTTCTGAATAAGTATAGGGTACTGGAAACCTACTTGCAATATTTCATTCTTGTCTTTAAGAATCATATTTTCATTTTCAAGCCCTTTAATTCTTTCTTGATATGTTCTGCCTATGCTGTCCCAGTCTCGTAATTTCATCTTCAGGTCCTAAACAAACATATATGCAATGACTATACCATGTTTGTAATATTTACATTAAATAATAATTCGAGATCATTCTTCCTTTTTATTGGTCGAGAGCCATGCTCTATTAGAGGACAGACGCACAGATGACGCCATTTCACTAACGTAATATATTTAAGCCAATCACAGCTATCTCAGTGGTATCAGAAACGAATGTACCAGAAATATCATTCCGTCCCGTTTTCACTAATAAATACATAAAACTAATTACATAAAACAAACAGACAACATTTTGCCGTTGTCTGTCCAGTCATAGATACGCAAAGGACGTCATAACATGGTACGAACATCCGTGACCCGGCACTTACATGTTATATTGGAATATCCAATTCCAAAATTACATGCAATTTAGTAATTCACTTGAAATGATCACATCCAGAGACCATACCCTTTTGTTGGCAAATGCTGGCCCGGTCATATATATAGTGAGGTCCATAGTGGTTAGTGTCGCTTCCAAGAAAGGGGCATGTATTAAAGTGTTTATTTCACAGCTAATTGAAGCTCTATAGTGGTAGCAGAAAAATTAAAGCAAGTCGCGTTTGTCGTCTGATTTTTTCAATCGGAAAAATACTTATCCAAGTATCATGTTATGTACGGATATTTTGTTGATTCGATTATCGATCAAACGAGAGTAATTCTTGAAATATGTTTTAGATTTCGTTGATAGCGAAAAATAATGAAAAGGTGGTTAGACTTAGACAGATGTTTGCAACTGCTCCAGTACACTTTCTGAAAGGTCTTTTTCAATGACGTCACGTGGTTCTTCGTTCGAAAGGATCGCAGGCTCGGGGAACGGGATTGCGTTCGAAAAAAGCTAGGGAAAGAAATGAAGCGGACTTGTGGCCAGTCTACTATTAGATTTATAATGAAGTATAAACATATTTACCATGAACAGAAACTCGTTAAGTTCAAAGTCCAAAATTATATACTATTAAAATATCAACTAAAAGATAGATGGGTTAATTTCTGAAAGCCACCAACGTGCAAAACATAATTTTATTAGTTCAATGGTGGACCACATCTATCGTCCAAAAATTAATTACTGTAATTATGATCAGGGTACAGGGCCGTAGGATGCTCTTTTTGATAAGGGTGAAAGCGAGGGCCGAAGGCCCTAGGAAATTTTTAAATTTAGAGTCTCTGAAATGCCATTTCCTGAACTTTGGGGAAGATTTGACAGAATTCTGATGGTCAGAAAACAGCGTTTTAGTATGTCGAAATTTACAATTTGGTAGTACTAAATGGGCGAAGGTGTATTTAATTAACTATATATTAGATAAATTGCAGGAAAGTGTGGGTAATATCTTCATTCTTTGCAGTTTGATAATGTTGCCGCCTAAAACTAATAAAACTTAAAGGGATACAGCAATATATTTTTTTTATTATTTCATTTGGAAGAACGTTTAAAATTATATGTAAATCTCTTTTACCGATTTTGCGTAACTTTATTATTTCTTGAGATATTTGAACAGAAAAAATCACAAATCAGCGAGCTTCCCGCCATCTTGGATTTTGGCGGATATGCATGTGACATCATAAGCAGGGTCACGCAAGAATTTTATCCATAGAGCAATTGGTTATTATGAGCCCAAAATCATATACTTCAGTAACTATTTGAAATAAAAACTGTCTGACGACTTTTCAAACAAGACTTAATGTTATTTGGTCATTTAGATGTAGTTTTATATGGCTTGTACCCTGCTTATGACGTCACTAAAATCACCGATGAGATAAAAATTAATCCAAGATGGCGGACAGCAAATTATTTTAAGTCAAAATATTTCAAGAAATAATAAAGTTACGCAAAATCGGTAAAGGAGATTAACATATAATTCTAAAAGTTCTTTAAAATGAAATAATAAAAAAATATATTGCCATATCCCTTTAAAATTGATAAAGGTCTGCATGATTTTGAAAAAAGAATGATTATTAGAAAATTATTGGGGGGGGGGGGCTGCAGCCCCCCAGATTGCTACGGCCCTGGGGTACATATTAGGTACATGCAGTATATGTACTGTATACATGCAGTGCATGTACTGTATATAGAAATTTAGTTAGCGCTTTCAGGGAGACGGATTCGGATTGAGCACTATAATTTACCTAGACCTAGTACCTCATTTTGGTCTTTAAGTTTCTCAGAATCCAAATCTTTCTTATTGAGATCGTTTCGCAGCTACAAAAATACAACATTCAGAAGTCAAAACAGTACTTTAGATACATAATTGTATAGTATTGTATAGTGTATCTAATTCTGAATTTTAAAAGTTAAAATTTAATCACATATTATATTCATAATTTGACAGCTATACACGCGATGTTTACAAAATTATCAATCACTTGTTAAATGTTAGTGGTGTCAGAGTAATACATGAACTACAAACACAAGATGTATGATTGACTTCATGCTTGAGTGCCAATCGATAAATAGCAAATTCTCGCTGGGTATTTTGGCTCATGTACAGTATACATTACCCTATCTTTCTCATCTTGTATTTGAATATTGTGTTTTTGATTTTTCTTTTGAAGCTTGTCATGATCTCGTTTAAGCTTATTAACCTGAAAATATAATAAGACAATAAGTTGATAAATTGGTTATCATTTGGTGGGCTATAACCTGATGCAACTTCCTAACGACGTTTACACAATCATCCTTAACATACATGCACAATATAGAGGAAACTGGAGTACCCAGGAAAACCCATGACTTTTCATTTGACAGAAAGACCCCAGAGAGAATCGAACAAACAATCAATCAATCAATCAATCAATCAATCAATCAATCAATCAATCACAGATGCATGTAAAAAACTTATTGTGCCAAAATGAAGCACTGTAATGACAATGCAATCAGTTTACAACTGAGTATGGAATGCCTTAAAGGACAGTTTTCCACCTGGTTGAATCTTCCGTATCCAGGCGCGGAATTTTCTTTACTGTTCTTGCATGTGTACATTATTTAGTCACATGCTACTGTGTATAAATTGTAAATAGAAATCCCCGATTGCGAAATGGAAAATCAGTCGAAAACTAACTTACTTCATCTCGGAGATGTGAAAGTTTATTTTCGTACTCATTGACAAGATCTCTCTGGCTTTGGTCCTTCGCAGTAATTTGATGTTTTAGATTTTCGGCCTAAAAGAAAAGACAGCAGTAGATAGCAACAGTAGATCCAACTAACACCATTACTACCTTTTTCCTCTATAATTAGGTCGACATTAGATCCACCATGATACCAATGATTTGCAGCATGGTACACTGCAAGTACATGAAGAAAAAACACAGGGAGCCCATCCCGGGTCTTATTGAAGTTATGTATTAGAATTACGTATGAAATATATAGCTCAGTGTTGAAGCCTGCAATTTGCTAACCTGAAGTTCAGGCCCTAATCACAGAATAGTACCCTGGGTGCCAGAGGTTCTTCCACGCTCGTAGGGGGGATAATGAGGGATACACGAGGATTCAAGCTGAGCGGCGGCGAGCGGGAAGAACCTCTGGAACACTTCTATGGCTTTTACTGTTTTAACTGTCACATGTCAATCAAACGTTAGCCAATAGGACACATATTTATTTTTGACTGAGATGATTTGGGCGTGTTCAACCGAACATTTGAGCGATGGAAATTGCGACAGAATGTGTCAATTTCAAAACAAAAAATTAAAATTAGCGAGTCTTTATAGTAAAATAAACCGAATAATATTATGTGGCCACATGGCATTAGACCGTACACCTCTTAAAAGTGTTACAAAAAAGCGGAGACGAGTATTGTCGAGTTTGTGGCGAATTTGTTATTCACAGTGGGTATTTTAGTACATACAGTAAAAGGATCGTCGCCTCGGTAGATTGAACTTTGAAGCATTTCTTGTTCATCATAATACAAACGAATATTTGCCGTCCAAGACCCTGTTTATATGGAGGTGAGTTACTCTGCAATTGGCGAATAAAACTTATCTAATGATTCGTATGTATTTTTGAGCAATATATTATATTTCAAATGCAAAGCACATACATTTATATACATACATTCAATCTCGGGCGGCCAAGTTAACAAATACCCGAATAGGGGTGCACCGGAACTCGGTTCCGGCCGGTTAGTTCCGGCCGGAACCCCGATTTTTTAGAGTTCCGGTTCCGGCCGGAACTAGTAAAAAAAGCATGGCCGGAACCGGAACTCTATTGTTTTCAGAGAGATAGAATATCAAACGTTTTTGTGTCTAACAAAAGGTCACAGTAGGGAGAAATTTGGACTACGCAAGGGAAATGTACACTACTAACACTTCATTATGACGTTTAACGCTTGTCAATCTTTTTATTCTAACATTTGCGAGCTCTCTCCTTTATGACTTGAAGTGTCTGCCTGTCTGGCAGCGGACAAAGTAACATATGACTATATATGGCTTAATAAATTAGTTCCGGTTCCGGCCGGAACTTCCGGCCGGAACTTTTTTCCAGTTCCGGTCGGATCCGGTTCCGGCCGGAACTTAAAAAACTGGTTCCGGTGCACCCCTATACCCGAACATCTTTTGTTTAATACGGTAACTATTCATCTCGCCGAAGGCAATATCTCGCCTCTTTCTGCCGGGAACTCGTCACTGGCGAGTTTATACTCGGCTGCATCGCCATGTAAACAGTCTCCCGGGTTTACTACTGTATAAGTTTCTATAATATAGCCGGGATCTTGTCGTTGACGAGTGTAAACTCGACTTGCCGGGTAATTCGCCTCGATATAAATAGGCCTATAAAGACTCCCATCTTTTCTTGACATGCTTGATTACTAGACAGACACGGGCACGGAATTCCCTCTTGGCAATATAGCAAACATATCACGGCGATGCATTAACTGAAACACAGAAACAAGGCATCATCTTGATGTTTATTGTGTTTTGTAACACCGTCCAGTAAAAAATGTCAAAATCGAATCAACCGCGACCGAGTTGTTGATAATCTTCTCACAAGACTCGCAAGTCGTAAAACTAGAGGCATATATATTTACGCCTGACTATGTTATAAATATAATATTATATTTTATATTAAAACAACAGCGTACGGCCTGTACGGATTCTGAACGATAATATCTTGAAGGACATACGGTTCAAACAGCCAATGAAAGTCATTGTTTTAATAAGTCGCTGCCGTTAACCAATTAACACTGTGATCCAGATTCTGGATCACTTCACACTTTTGAGCATCGTGATTGATGCGGTTCGATCTGAGAAACCATAGAAGTGTTCCAGAGGTTCTTCCCGCTCGCCGCCGCCCAGCTTGAATCCTCGTGTATCCCTCATTATCCCCCTATGAGCGTGGACGAACCTCTGGCACCCAGGGTACAGAATAGGGCCTGACACAAAACCTGTCTAAACTGTGGAATTCCCGTCCATCTGGTGGACGGGAAAACTGATTGGTTGATCAGCATCATGAAAGATTTTGATTGGTTGCAAGTTCACATAAACAACAGTTTTAAAAATAGCTCGCTCAAGGCGACAATTAATATAAAGATCAAAAGCACGTAACAAATTCATCGATTTCTTCGAATTTCTTTCTTTTATGCTTTATCAGTGGCAGAAAATAAATCAAACAAACAGTATTTTGAAAGGGCTTTATCAAAATCTTTGACGAATTTTGGACACACGATGGTGAAAGAACAGCCAAACTGAAACTAGTCATGTATTCGAAAGCTTGTTGTTGACAGCCAAGATGTTCTGCCAACTGGCTTGGCCGGCAAAAGTCTTATTTTTAATATCAGGTCCTACCGGCGTTGTTTTCTGAGCTACATCGCCTTCTTCGTGGTACGATTGAGAATTTCATTGTTGCTGTTGTTAGCCCGTTAGAGTATATATCCGCGTCCAGCAAGTTGAGACCTTGAGAAAGCTTGGCAGTCAAGCCGTGCACAGAACTGACAAATTAAATCTTTGTTTGTTGTTCGGTTAAATAGAGAAACTGACTCTTAATTATATAAAAGTACCTTGAATTTTTAAGTTTAATTAAAAAGCAAAATGCACACTCTGCGGACGGCATGTAGTAAAACATGGACTGGACTCATTAGTAAAACATGGACTGGACCCGATTAGTAAAACATGGACTCTATTAGTAAAACATGGACCCGATTAGTAAAACATGGACCCGATTAGTAAAACATGGACTCTATTGGTAAAACATGGACTCTATTAGTAAAACATGGACTCGATTAGTAAAACATGGACTCTATTAGTAAAACATGGACTCGATTAGTAAAACATGGACTCGATTAGTAAAACATGGACTCGATTAGTAAAACATGGACTCGATTAGTAAAACATAGACTCGATTAGTAAAACATGGACTCGATTAGTAAAACATGCCTAAATGTAGTTCCTTGTCTGTTTTTTTTGTAAATTGTAATTTTAATAACATCAACTTTAGTGTATAAGAGATCTCATCGATATTTAACGTAAAGTTTCAAGAAGCATCGGCCATTGTAAGTAAATGTGGAATAAATACCAAATTATTTACCGACAGCTAGGTAATGCTATATAGATATAGATGATTTCTTGATTTTTATGTAAACAGAAACACCTTTGCTATTTTAACACGTCCACATCGATTTATCCCAGGAGAAACGTAATTTGGACGTGGTTGCGTTGTGTACACTATATTCTTTATAAATATATACTCGATAAAAAGATTCTCCGACAATCGGCATGATTCCTGCAATACTAATTTACGAATTTTGGATTGATAGTGTCAGACATTCTGACCATCGGGCACCGGCAACCGTTAACGTTTGTCAATAGTTAAATATGAAGCATTTACATATTTGTTTGCGTGCGAAGTCAAAAACATTAAACAAATCTATGAACTATTGACTACAAGCAAACTAAACTTTTCTTTTCTGTCTAAACATAATAACAATGCATAAAACTACTCATTTAGTTGATAAAAATTAAGTTCAAGTACTTACAATATATGTATATTGTAATCAGTGCCGTAGCTAGCATTTATAGTTGGGGGGGTGTAGGCCAAAAATTTCCGAATGACGAAAAAATTTCGGTCAGTGTACCATTTTAAGGGTCAAAAAATTTTTTCGGACATACCAAAAGTGAGATATTAGCTAAAAATTGCCTGAATCTCATGATTTTCGTACAAAAACCATATACTATTATTGCCGTAATTTTCCGAATGGCCATCCCATTTTCCGAATATGTCAAAAGTTGGGGGGGTTAACCACCCCCCCAATACCCCCCCTCGCTACGGCCCTAATTGTAATATTGAGAATAGGAATGTTTTTAGTTTTTTGCCTATACACCCTTTAAGCCAAACGCCTTTGATACAACCCCTGTTCAATTTCGTGTTAGATTTGTAAGGTGGGGGGGGGGGAGATGGGGTCATCTGGGAAACGTCCATAATTAGGAAGTTCCTCGTGGAATAAATCGATACGCGACACTTTCAAAAATATCTTGCCCCTCACAGACTCAAGAAATACGGCAGCTTAAAATATAACACAATGAAAAAATTTTTAAACTGTTTCAGGAAAAAATTGGTCTGAATCATTCAGTGGAATAGCACATCATGCCTACCAAGAGTTCACGTTTTACTAAGGGGCCGACCATTCAACTTTTGAGGGGGCGGGGGGGGGGGTGATTTTGAAAAAAATTTCCTGCAAGGCTATTCTGAAAAAAAAACAAACCCTGCACTAACAAACTGGGGAAAAAAATATCCTGCTCCAGTATTTGGTGCAGGGATCGATTTGACCAGTCCGAGAAGATCAGCTGGTTAAGTTTGATTTTCAGGGACTAGTGTAAGGTTAATTTCCCGTTGGAAAACTCCTCAAAATGCTGGAAATAGCTTATCTGAGCTTTAAAAAATCCAAATTTTTCTGGGGGGAGCATGAGTCTCGCACCCTCTAGAGTCTCGCACCTTCGGTGGTCGACTCAGTTGTCTCAGAGTCCTAGTTAAGCATGGCCTGAGCTGCTGCCCTATGACATAAACTTATTAGTTAAATCATGCATATATATGCTGTAGGTAGCTGCAGTGATACAGACAGGGCTGTAGCGAGGTAATGGGGGGTGGTTAACACCCCAACCTTTTTAGAATCAACGTATTCAGAAAATCGGGTTGGCCATTCGGAAAATTATGGCAATAATAGTAGAACAAAATGTTTAGTTGTTAAACAGAGAAAATATTATAAAATTGTATTGTCACTATAAATTGTAAGCAAATTGTAAATTTCGACATACCAAAACGCTTTTTTCTGACCATCAGCATCCTGTAAAACGTCCCCCAAAGTCCAGGAAATGGCATTTCAGAGACATTTCTATGAAATGGCATTTTGAAATTTAAAAATTTCCTCGGCCCTCCGGCCCTCGCTTTCTGCCCTCAATAAACAAAAGCTCCCTACCGCACTGCTTCTGTAATATGTCTGTGCGTAAAATATGCGTATTTTTGTTTGTAAATTGCGTCTTCATTTTCCGAATAGCAAACATCTTCGTGACTTAGTATGCCATGATATATTCGGAAATTATTTTCGTCATTCGGAAATTTTTGGCCTACCCCCCCCCCCGCCCCCCAACTATACATGCTAGCTACGACCCTGGATACAGACTTGCCGACTGGAACTTCTCCAGGTCCCCCGCTAATTATAGGCCGTGGGCTGTTGGCCAAAATTATTTCGCTTCGTGGCACCCATGTGGGAAATACTTGGTTTGGGATTTATTTGAAAGGTATATAGATATATCACTACCAAAAAAAGTTCCCACGCAAAAAAGGTGCCCGATCCCAACAAAATGGGTGATCAATGATTATCCTCTATTAAATTGTATTACAGCAAAAAATGGGAAATTCTGAATTCAACTACAATAAAAATGACTTGCATAATCGGAAAACGTACAAAAAACCGCATATAAGACTTTTAAACAGTTTTTTTATTCTTTAAATAGTCTTGGAGTTATTGCTGTTTTAAATGTGAAAATTGGACCAAAATGTCGCAATAAGGACTGGGTACTAGGTCAAAAACGCGTTTTTGACCGCGTATAACTCGAAAACAATTTTGGATATAAAAAAACTGTTTAAATGTCTTATATGTAGGTTTTTGTAAGCTTTCTGATAATGCAAGTCATTTTTGTTGTAATTGAATACAAAATTTTACATTTTCTTGCTGTAATACAATTTAATAGAGGATAATCACTGATCACCCAATTTCTCGGTGTTGGGCAAGTTTTTTGCTTGGGAACTTTTTGTGGTAATTAAGCATCTATGGTTCTATGAATTGAACCACAGAAAATCTATTTCCCAGGAGGGTGCCACGAAATTGCTTTTCTAGACACTTTTTCGCACAACAGCCCACGGCCTATACGCATCTGATTGGTTAAAGGCACAGTGCAGCCTTTTGAATGATGGTTTTTAAGGCGCATTTCAGCCCTTTTAATTGAAAAAACTAACTAGGAAAATCAATTAAGCATAATTCAAGATCACCAAACTTAATGTTTTTAACATTTTAAAACATTTTTATTGTTAAAAACATTGAGTTTACTGATCTTGAATTATGTATAATTGATTTTCCTAGTTAGTTTCAATGGACGACTTGCGCTTTAGACTAAGTTTTAATCTAAGTAAGAACAACGAAATCTATCACCACAGCTAGAAAGAACGTCTTGGAATTAGTAATATTACAAAGTTTGGTTGCGAAATGTTGTAAAATACGGAAAATATAGCCCTTCAAAGTTGGCAAATTTGTATACTTTTGTATTAAGTGGGTGAATTGGTAACTAAATTAGTTACTAATTTCCGCACGTAATAGAAATGTATACAAATTTGCCAACTTCGCAGGGCTATATTTTCCGTATTTTACAACATTTCGCAACCAAACTTTGCAGTTTTTCTAATTTTGATAACTTCTTTCCGAAAATATCCTTTGTTATTCGCTCATCTGTTTGGTCAACTTTGCCAAGTTGGATTTCATTAATCGACAGGAATAATCTAGGAAAACCGCATTGCCCACACACAAGGCATTAATAACTCTGCACGTTCAAACGGTTTTTAATTTACAAGGAAAACAAATTTTAAAATTTTACTAATTTAAACTGACCGACTAGTATGTGCGTGAAAGGTCTGGGGGGTTTAGCATCCTAGGGTGCTTTAACATCACGCATATTCAATGCGCACGTTTTTCAGTCACGTAGTCCGCATGCATGGTGTCACACCTGAACTACAAATACAATCATTCTCAGACGTGTTCAAGAGCACGCCTGAAATATCTTTGATTTAATTTTGATCACGATGATTTATTTTTACAATACGTAATCAATCGTTACGATGGCGTTTCGAAAACGGGCCGAACAATTTGTAGGATTTAAAATAACGCGCTCCAGCACATGTTAGGGATACATTTGATCAAAGTTAAAAACCATCATTCAAAAGGCTGAACTGTGCCTTTAATAACTGTGATCAAATGTATCCCTAACATGTGCTGGAGCGCGTTATTTTAAATCCTACAAATTGTCCGGCCCGTTTTCGAAACGTCATCGTAACGATTGATTACGTATTGTAAAAATAAATCATCGTGATCAAAATTAAATCAAAGATATTTCAGGCGTGCTCCTTGAACACGTCTGAGAATGATTGTAGTTCAGGTGTGACACCACGCATGCGGACTACGTGACTGAAAAACGTGCGCATTGAATGAAGTGCGTGATGTTAACACTAGAAAAATGCTAGCACCCTAGGATACTAAACCCCCCAGACCTTTTACGCACATACTAGTCGGTCAGTTTAAATTAGTAAAATTTTAAAACTTGTTTTCCTTGTAAATTAAAAACCGTTCGAACGTGCAGAGTTATTAATGCCTTGTGTGTGGGCAATGTTTTCCTAGATTATTCCTGTCGATTAATGAAATCCAACTTGGCAAAGTTGACCAAACAGATGATGAGCGAATAAACTTTTGTCAAAAGAAAATCTCATTTGCTGGTCTATGACCGGCTTCAGTTTGTCATTGAGTTGCAACAGCTCAAACTAGCTGGGAGTCTGGCTCTAAAAGGGATTTGGAACGTTTTCGTCAGCTCATTGTTAATAAGCAAAACAAATCACTGGAAAAGTTTCATCCACACATCACGTATACAACACCCCTCGTGTAAAATAACACATTTTACCAATAGGTCGTGTGACCTTTCACTTTAAAAATACGCTCGTCTGGTCTATAGCAGAGCGAAGGCGCGTTCCAGTTCGTAAATATCATGTGGAATACACGCTTCCGGAAATTACGTCACTTTGGTAATAGAGCCTCGTTTTCGTATGCGCGGACATTCGTTAAACCGAAAACGAGGCTTCATAACTAAGGTGACGTATTTTCCGGAAGCGTGAATTAGAATATTTTCATACGTGAAATGTAAGTATTTTATATATATAATTGAGAACTGTCTCAAAGTACCAGATTACATGCAGTACAGTAAATCACAGTCGAGAGCAGTTCAGTTTCAGTACAGCAAGGAAGTTTCCCCTAACACGTATGTCATGAAAAAGAACCAGTAAAAATTTCCAAATTCGCAAGTTCGTTGCTATTTTGGGACGTCAACTATATGTCCTATATCCGTCACATTTGTCCCAATGAACGTTTGCCGTCGTTTTCGTACGGGATCAGGGAAACAGGTGCCACGAGAAGCGGATGTTAGCAGACTGATGTTTGTCAAAACTACAGATATTTTGGCCATCTGCCACAACACATTTATCATTGTTCTATTTTATAGAAGCATACAATAGAACACGGGTAACTAGGCATTAGAATTATCCCTGCTTCTGTAAACTGGAACAATGGTAACTAGCCAGGCATATTTTTCAAGCCTTCCCGGTGTGGATATACACTCAGAGTAACATCACAAGCATCTTATTCACCCGAGTACTTTACACCAACACAAGAAAATAGACATGTGAGTTATCTAAATTCAGTTGTAAATTGATGGCAACGACGTAAACGTTTACCTAGTCCAATTTATCAAATAAATAACAACATGAAAACGAGGCCATTGGGGCTAGACAATACAATCTATCAAAATTTGAAAAAAGTTTTCCTGGCAATATGTCGGAAACAAATTGAAAAAAAACATAACAACAATTTAATTAGAACAGATAGATGCAATCTAAAGTTCGTATTTTCACGGTCAAGATGAAAACCGAAGCTATTTTGGCTAAAAATAAAATTGCTATAAATATACCACAAAATTCTGGCCGCCCCCACAGCGAATATTAATAAGAAAGAAGGTTCTGCCTGAATTAATTGAGTATAAAAGGCCACCATATGTTTCGACTTACGAACGGAAAGTTTATTTAGCTTTTTACGCGTATTCAGTATGTTGTTATCATTTGCAAGCTATACTATGATAATAATGCGAACCATAGAGCTATTTCCTTTGTAGACAGGTTGTTGTCTGTATCGATAACATGCTAAATAGCCCTATCAATGAATGAATGCACTCATGAATGAACGTGTCAGAAAACCGACATTCTAGCAAGCAGTTATTGAATTAAATCTTGACCTATACGTATGGCAATGCAGTTAAGGGCGACTAGTTCCATCTGCAATCCCTTCTCCATAAACGTGTGGGTGGGGCACTATACCGCCATAACCCTAGAGGAAACATGAATTCAATTATCATATCAGGATTTGGGGCATCTCACTCCAGGGGCGGCAGGTTCATTCCTATCAGAGGGCCTGTATAGTTGCAGCCGCAGCTGCTCCTGGACCTTTACACTCGATCTTTCCATCTACAAAATCCCATTCAATTATAATTTGTCATAAGATTTGAATCAAATGTTTAAAGTTGGTTTAAACATCGCACTTGTTAACCTTAATTCCCTGCAATCACAATTGCGTGTATCGTGAATATAATTTTACCAGCATTTGAAAATAATGCAGATGTTAGCAATACTTTCAGAATATTTCCTAAAATTATTGTTATGAGTATTTGACCTAGGAACCATTCGAGAGCTTTGTAGCTATAGTACCTTTAGAATTTCGTCACGTGATAGTGAAAATTATGATTCACCTGCGTTCCTTGTCCTCTGCGGAAAAAAGCCACGATTGTATATACTTTATGTAGTCCTACACAAGATGTATATGAACCCTTACCCCAAGGTCGCAAGTTTGCTTTACACCGTGTGAAGCAAACTTGCGACTTTTGGTTTGCTATAGTCCAATTCTCCCCACTTCAATAGACCTTTCCCCTTTTAAATGAAATTTTGATCTAGATATGCCTGGGCAACAAAATTAGTAATATTCCGAAGTTTCGTTGCGACTGAATGTTGTAAAATGCGGATAATATAGCCTTGCGAAGTTTGCCGTTTTTCAGTCATTTTGCATTACAATCTAACATTTTGCATCAGTTTGATCATCTGATTATCAATTTCCCGTTAGTAATACCAAATGACTGAAAAACGGCAAACTTCGCAAGGCTATATTATCCGCATTTTACAACATTTCGCAACGAAACTTCGGAATATTACTAATTTTGTGATGCTCTTTCAAGCTGTGATGAAATTTTTGTCCAGACTTGTCTAGATCAAAATTTCACTCAAAAGGGGAAAGGTCTATTCCCGCCGCTAAATCACACCTGTTTTTCAGCTTCTTCCGAGTGGAAAAACTTGGAGTAACATCTCTACAAGAACGAGAACACGCATACACCACAATCATTAGTAGTATATATATATAGTTCCGGAGGGAACATATGGTTTTAGCATTTTCCTACTGTTTCTCATGTATTCTACATCAAAATTAGACATTTCGTGTGGGGTACAAGAGGTATACTTGTAATAGACACATTCTGAACACAGAGGTTGCATGAAAATGTAAGAGCAACTCTTTGAATGTGAACATGATCGAAGCATGTGATATAAAGGAACAAACTTGTCAATTTTTGTTTGTTTCAAAATTTTAGTTTTGTTTAATAGTATAAATATTTTATCACTCTGAGTACTGACTGGTGACCCATTTACTTTATGTTAGGAACGACATGCATGAGCTATTCCAGGACGCGTTCATGAATAGGACAACATACATTTTGACAAGTGTTTTTTTGCACTGAAAAAAGCAAGTTTTTTCAAGCAATCATCACTTCCTACTAGCTGTTCACTTGCACGGTGAAGAAGTTGACAAATCTGAACTATTCGGTAAGTATACAATTTTAACCTACCATGTTGTTGTCATATACTATATATATACGTGTAGTACCCTTAATGTCTGCTCCTGAGGTTAGTAGTTTTGTTTTCCCAAGCCGGCGTTCCAAGGTTTCCCGAGACGAAGTCAAGAGAAAACAGACATTACAACACGGGAACTTCCTGCATGGGAGACCCTGATAAATAGAAAATGAAATGGTCAGGAAAAGCCGGGGAATTTTTTCACCTTTTGTGTGGAGAATATGGAATGTTTTGTTTACTGCTCAACGGAATGAGGACATTTTTCAAGATGCGATGTGAAATATTAAATTCTATCGGGAAAAAACGCATATAATTTTTTTTAAATTTTGCCCTGGCATGTGGCATTTTTAAGATCCAAATTCCGGCATATCCTCGAGGTGTACTGAAGACATTGCATGACATGCATGTTTTCTTGTCTTTGATACGATATATATATTTATATATATATATATATATATATATATATATATGATATTAAACTAAGCTTTTAATCATAGTTGGGCACCTGAAGAAACGTGTTTAAAAACAATATATCGATACAGGTAAATCCAAGGTTCATTAAATTTAAGGATTCCTCATGGACGAACTAATGAGTAATGTAGATTTTGAAAAAAACAAATAAGGCATTTTAGGTTAATTTCTTAATTTTTCAAAATTAAAATTAAAGACTTTCACGGTTTTCAGGATCCATCCACCGTGATTCAACTCCGCAATTTTTCGGCAAAACCTTTATATTTCAAATCAGGTTAATTACTTTTAACAAGGAAATGTTACACATAGCACAGCACAAAACGACCAGTAATATGATTTCGGTAGTTTCCATCAATGTCAGGCAAAATTTTGTTCCTCCCGTACAGAGAATATATTTCCTTCGTCTTCATGGTCTTCAAGAACAACTACGGTACCAGCGACGTTAAATAAGTTAATGAGTAAATCAGTTTTAATTTGTTTCTTGCAACAAAAACGCCTTATTTAACATCACTTTCGGTAACTTTAACAGCCAAAAAGACAATGAAAATGAAGTTTTTCTATGAGAAAATATATTGCACTTCGTTTTAAAAGGCACTGAATATAATAAATATGTAAAATTCCTATGTAAAGCGCACTTTAATATCTTCTCACTTGTTCTTGCAGAGAGCGATGGAGTATTGGATTGTAGTCTTGGTTGTGCTCTATGCAAGTGTGGCAGTAGATGGTAGCAAGATGACACTTGCTGAACCTGCTCCTGAGCCATGCAAGCCTACAAATGAGGAGGATATTGCGAGTTCAGATCCTCTTGTCAATCACATGTTTGAAGCATACAAGGTGCGTTTAAGTATATCTTATAGTATATAGCTTCTCGTGCAATCGACAGTGCCGCAGCCAGGGGAAGATCAAAAAGAAATTTGGTAAATTCTTTCTGCCCCATTTTCCAACTGGCTAATGCCTAGCAGGAATATTACCGTATAACATCTTCTTCACTTTGTTATTGTGTTTTTTTTCCCATCCCGTTTAGAGACAAGCCCAAAGTGAAAGCCCGCCAGCGGAACATGCCACAACGTTAGCAGAAGTCAATGCACATGAAATGCTTGGACGACTTTTTTTCTTTCTCGACAAACATTTAAGAGAAACTGGAGGAAACCCACCATCTGATTCAACTACAAGATGGTTCTTTCATCTTGTACAAGCCGACGAGAATCGATGGGCAGCTGAACGAAAGTGGCCATATCGTTGTTACAACGTTGAAACTGTGCGGGCACTTGATCATTTCTTGGTTGATGCGATGAAGTCGATTAGTCAAAATGCGATCCAAGATAAGCTGGAATCAGCCATGCTTGCATACAGCATTTTTATGAGCTTACCTCAATTTACAATGTACGTGCAAAACCTTGAAAAATCGCCACTCCATCAACTTTGCCCTTTGGTTCATTCGAGTGAGAATTTTGAAACAGATGTGGCTTGGATGACAATGATCATGGAAGGTATGTTCCCGATAGCGGATACAGCTTGCCAACCACCATACGAAAACCAGGTATTCTGCAACCTGCCAGCTACTGTACATGACCTTGATACCATGGTAGACGACTATAAACGCGCAGGTTCATCGGAAGAAATGAAACTGTTTGCTTCCTTCTGGTTCCTAGCACCCGGCCTCTCAAATATCTGCGATGACGCGTTTCGCTTGGAATTTTCGGCAAACGTTTTAAAACCCCATGCAATATCGGCTGTAGCTCGGTTGGATGAGATCACTAAGCTGTCTTCCACACGTGGAAATGACCTGGAGATGATGCGGACATTTATCTACGACTATGTCTTCAATTA